AACCTGGGCTAGTAAGGATTGGGGATCCAGGAGAATTCGCCACCCAATTTTTGCCAGCAGCGCCTGATTAAAATGTTCAAACCGACGGAAACCCATACCCCCGTCGTGTTTACTTTTGCACATATTCTGCCAGGATATCCAATGAATCCTGGAATGACCCTCAGTCACACCCCACCAGAATCTGGCTACATGCTTATCTAGAAGCCTACAAAGAGACAGAGGCATCTTGAAGCACGACATTACATGTAACGGTAATGCCAGAGCTATGGACTTAATCAGGGTTTCTTTCGCTGCCCAAGACAAAGTGCGTTGCTTCCACCCTTGTAACTTCTCAAGCAGCTTCTCCTCCAGGTAACGGAAGGTAGCCATCTTTGATCGGGCTATCAGGGTCGGAAGTCCCAAGTACTTATCCTGGACCCCTACCGCACCCACCCCCAGAATCGCAGTCAGAAACTCCTGGTTAGCAGGGACTATATTCTTACTGAAACAGACCGCTGACTTGTCCTAATTCACTCGTTAACCACTTAACTCCTCATACTCATTTAGAACTTCAATCAGATTTTCACATTCCTGGAGGTTACCTCTCAGGAATAAGTAAGAATCATCCGCAAAGAATAAATGTGAGATACGAGGAGCTTTAGGGGCAACTTTCACACCTCCCAGTCTCTTATCAGCAATTGCCTGGTGAAGAAGCGCAGCAAAGCCTTCGGTACAAATCACAAAAAGCAGGGGAGATAGAGGATCTCCTTGACGAAGTCCACGGGTTGGCCTGAAATATCCTGAAGGGGTCCCATTCATTAAGACCGAGAAAGATGTCGAGCGAAGACATACATGGATCCATCCTATCCAGACAGAATTGAAACCCATTTTCTCGAGGACAGCGAGCAAGAAGGGCCACCCAACTCTATCATAGGCCTTTTCCATGTCAACCTTTAGAGCCATGTACCCTTTCTTCCCCCGTGTCTTGAGTTTCAAATAATGCATCAATTCGTGCCCAATAAGGATGTTCTCAATAATTTGTCTTTCACGAATGAAAGCATTTTGACCTTCAGAAACAATGTCTGGAAGGATATCAGCTAGCCGTGCAGCCATGATTTTTGTAATTATTTTATAAACAAACTGGCACAGGCTAATCGGCCACAACTGCCGCATGTTCTCCACATTGTCCACCTTAGGTATCAATGTTAGCTAAGTGTGATTGAAGCTGCGAAGCATCCTACTCGTAGTAAAGAAGGAACAGACCGCTTCAATCACTGAATTGCCAACAATATCCCAGTAGGATTTGAAAAATTTCCCCGTAAAGCCATCGGAGCCAGGAGCCTGTTTGGACCCCATGGCAAACACTGTTTTCCGAACCTCTTGAGGCAGGACCTCCGCCGTTAGCATCTCATTCATCTCTTGGGTGACATTTTGAGCAATAGGAAGACCTGCTACTCGCCCTGCCATGTTCATCACTTGATTTTCTGAAGTGAACAACTTTTGATAGAAATGGCATGCGATATCTGCCTTCCCCTTCTCATCAGTAATCCAATCCCCATTATCATCATATAGACCGACAACATAATTCCTTTTCCGCCTCGTTCTAGTGACTGTATGGAAATAAGAGGTGTTTTTATCACCTTTCTTAAGCCAATGAACCCTCGATTTCTGTTGCCAGTACACCTCTTCGGCTTCCCATTGGCGAGTCAGTTCCATTTCAAGGTTTCTGACCTCGTCCCAGTTGATGGGATGATTGGATTTAATATGATCAATCTCTACTTGGAGTGTTTTGATATTCCGAAGCGAGTTGGTAGTCCCAGCCCTACTCCAATCATAGAGAAGATGCCTCAGATTCTTAAGTTTTTCCCAGAGCTGATACATCGGGGTCCCAGAAATTTGCTCCTGCCACACATAATTGACCATTGCTCTGACTTCCGGGTTGTCAGCCCACCGGGCATCAAACCTAAACAGAGGTCGACTTTGTCGAACAAAAGGTTTATCAGCCAGGAGCAGCGCCCGGTGGTCTGAGCCCAGGTCGGTGCAGTGTTTAACAAGGGTATCAGGGAATCGATCTATCCACGAATGGGGGCAGAGAGCCCTAGCCAGAATTTCACGAATGCAAGCATTACCAAGGCGTTTATTCGTCCAAGTGAACGTGTCCCCCTGGTAACCGGGGTCATGGAGCCCAAGATCAGTGATAAAGTCACGGAGACTAATAGATTGGGCACTGTTCCATTCATTTCCTCCATCCTTTTCATGAACGTGTAATGTGGTATTGAAGTCACCAATAACCACAAAAGGGAGATGGATAGTAGCACAGACATCTCGAAGATGAGCCAGCTGAATAGCTCTGAGAGCGGCGTTGCAACTCATATAAACACAAAAAACAACATATGAAAATGCCATTTCATTAACTTCAATTCCAATACAAAAATCCGACTGAAAAAACACCGAAGCAGCAACTTCGGGGGACCAAGCAACAACTAAACCACCTGATGCATCAACAGCATCAACAAAAAAAGAATGCGAAGATTCAAAACCTAAACCACGAATTCTTTCCTTCTACAAAAAGTTGAAAAGTCAAAAGTTTCTCTCCTTATTTCTCTTTCATAATCAAAAAAATCAAACTTTCCCACTTCTTTCTCTTCCCACATATCAAAACCACCAAAATTCCCACTTGTTTCTTTTCTAAAAAATTCAAAGAACCAAATTTCCCTCTTCTTTCTCTTCCCAAAAACTTGAATAAACCAAAATTTCCCTCTTCTTTTAAAAACATCAAATTACCAAATACATTACTTTACTTTATTTATATTTAATTGATAATTTTATTGAATAGTTAAACTAACCAAAATTTTAATTTATATATTATATTAATATTGTCATGATCTCAAGTGACTTTCATGTTTCAATTTTTGTAATTTTCTTAAAATACATAATATCAAGTGAGTCTCATATTTTTTAAATTTCTTATACGAAATAAAAAAATAATTTTACTTAAGTTTAGAATGAAAAACTTTATTTTCAAAAAATATGTATTGTATATTTTTATAATTATTCAAGTGGATTAGATGAAATTCGGGTTGAGTCGGTCAGGTTACGGGTTAGTCGGGTTCGGGTCAATCGGGTTCGGGTTAATCGGATTGCGGGTTGAGTCGGGTTGCGGGTCAATCGGGTTCGGATTAATCGGGTTGCGGGTTAGTTGGGTTGCGGGTCAATCGGGTTGCGGGTCGGGCAGGTTACGGGTTGTTGACTTTTAGTCAATTCGGGTAGCGGTCAGGTAGGGTCGGGTTGATTGGGCGGGTTAATCAGGTCGGGCTATGTTTTGACATCTATAGCTCTAGATTAGTTAGATTAGTGTTTTTTGTATGAGAAAATTGATGTTAAGTTTTTATTTTGAAAGAAATTTGTTATTGTAAATTTTTTACCACAAAAACCCACGGATACCCAGCGAGTTGGGTTGGGTTTGAGTTTTTCAAACCCAGCGGGTTTTACCCCGAGTTTTTTTGGCAGATAAACTCATGGGCTTGGGTTTGACAAACCCCGCTCCAACCCGACTCATTGCCATCCCTAATAGAGACCATACTACCCCCACTACTTCTCAGTTCAACACCGTAGTTGTCACCCTACCTTCAAGAGAAGGGAATATCACATCAGCTCTTTTACTCTGGCATTCTCTCTTTCCCTTTGTTCTGCACAGATCCTTTTGAAGTCTTCATAAAAGGGGTCAGATGGTAACACATGACCGTCTAAGGTGCACATTAGCTCTTTTTTGACCCTTGTATACTCTTGGAAGGAAGAATCTATTGGGGTCAACAAATCCTCATAGTCGCCTATAAAAAGAAAAACATCCTTGGTTCGTTAACAGTACAAATAATCTCTACATAGTAGTGCATCAATCCACAAGCAGACCAACATGGATACAAACATGTCAAAGAACCATCCATCCAACAAAAGCAACAAGATCATCCACACAGAAAGCTGAAAATCTTTCAGCAACATAAAAGAACGACAAATGAACGAGCACCGCAATCATAATATCGATAAAGCATGAATACAAAACAAAAAATAGTCCATCAACACAAGGGCAAAAGTGGGTGGCATATTTATGCCTCGATGCTAAAATAAAAGTGTTACACATACACATACATCAGGCTGGTATTCAAAGGTAAGGAACAATTTCGCGTATCGATCAGCTAAGGCAGGGAACTATAAACATAGTGAAAAGATGACACATAGAGACTCATCTTTGATATCATAACCCTGAAACTCAAAAGAACAAAAGTACAACATATTGACATCTAATCCCTAACAAATAACGCATACTCGGGCGATCAATCGCTGAGTGAACAAAACTGAATATCTTTAACTTGACCCACCAGCAAACTTTTTTACAAAACGGCATATCTTAGTCTCAGAGAAATAAGAAATACGGAATTACCGATTACCTTTGCCATTTCTGAAGATTTTAACTACATGATCGCCAGTGTAATACTTTGAACAGGTGACCACAGTCTGTTAAGTCTGGACACCAAACTTCTCACTGAAGCCTTTGAAAGTTACATAGAAGATCATACAACCATAAGTCTCCAGATTTGTGTGCAGAATTTCAGTTAAAGTCAAGTTGTCCCTCTGGAAACGTTCACAACCATAAGAAGAAAAAGGTCAATCATGATATCTCAAGATTATGTCCTCCCAGATCAACAAGACAGAGATCAGTGCATGGTTGCTAAATGAATTACCTTCTCTCTGTTATATTTGCCGATGGCGAACTCAAGAGATTTGTAAAGCTTCTGCTTCGTATCAGGAGTTTCGGGGAAATGTTCGTAGTAGAAGATTCCCTCGAAACTAGGGTAATTAGGTGGACAATCAGCATAAAAACACTGCATGTAATTAAGAACGATTGCTGAGAAAATTAAATCTTCAAAGCAAACAAACGTACAGGCAGAAAAGAAAGATTGTTACACGAAAAACTGTGGAAACCCTAATTAATTAAAATCGCAAATCAAATGTGTCTAACTTACACCGCTGATCCGCTTCTTCCTCCGGTAATGGATGACACGGAGCCTCAATTCTTCATCGCCCTTGAAATCGTCGCTCTTGACCACATAATTGGAATCGTCGTTCTTGGGTGCGAGTTTCAGCTCACCAACGGCTAGGCAGCGCACGCAGGTTCCCATCTTCGTCGTTGATTCAGTAGGAGACTCGGACGACATGAGCTTTGGTGCCTTGGATGGTTTAGCTGGCTCCGGCGGTTTGGGCGACTCCTTCCCTCTAGCCTTCAGGTCGGAAGTCTTGCCCGGAATCAACGAGCGGTGGATGATAGCACGATTCGAAGAACCCTCTTGGATTTTCAATTCTAGGGTTTCAACTTGGGAGTTAATGGAAGGAACAGTTTGGGGGAAATATATATATTTATCCAATTTGAGCATGAAATTCTTTTGTGACTATAAGGTTTTCAGCCCGCGGGTTTATCCTACTTTGATCCTGACCCGATATGAAAAATGGGCCGTAAGTACCTGTCAGGTCGATTGGAGGTCAAATTGTATCATTTTTTTCTTTGGTTTTCGAAATGCGCATACTTTCCGATTTTTCTTTTCGTCTAACTCAATCTTTGGAATCCTTCGTCGAACATTTGAATATTGATTTGATGTTATATAAGTGTGTGTGAATTTTCGTTATATGTTGAATCTAAGTACGATAAGTTACTTTGGTGTAATGTTATATGTTATTACTCATATGTTAAATGAGATTTGAAATCATTTATTAGGATAAGTACAATATAATGACTCTTTTCATATTTCCAGGCTGAAACGGACTAAAACGGGTGACCAGTTAATCCTTGACCCACTAGCTCGACCAGGTCGGATCAACCCGCGGGTTGACAACCTTTTGGTGACTATTAGGGGTGGCTATTTGGACCGGGACCGGATGAAAAACTGGAAACCGGATCGTATAACCCGGACCGAGACCGGACCGGGACCGGATAGTAAACAATCCAATCCAATCTTTGGGCTTAGATTTGAGGTAAAAAACCGGAGAAAGACCGGATAAGAGAGCTCAACACCCAAAACTTAAGGCTAATTTGCATAAACGGTCACAAACCTTTGCACTTAGTACAAAACTTAACCAACTCCTCACCCTTTTAGGCCTTAGGCCACTCAAATTCCCACAATCTCAATATAAAATCAAGACCGAATTGGGACCGGACCGGGTCAAGACCAGACCGGATCAAGACCGGACTGTATCCAATCCAATTTTCGGTCCTTATATTTTCAAAAAAACCGGACTAGACCGGATCAATTTGGCCCAATTTAACCGGACCGGACCGTATAGCCACCCCTAGTGACTATCCACTTTTATTTATGGCCGATATTGCGGTGCCGCTAGGTGTCCCAACCTGTGATTGGTCCATGCAGATAATGACATGGCACTGGTTATAGGTATTAGATCTTCTTCTTCCTCTCTTTCCTGCTCAAGACAACTTCTGTGCCGCTGATCCATTCTCCGGTCTCTGTCTTCCACCTAATTGATCTCCTTGTATCTGTATGGTAAGTGTCCCACAATAAATCCATAATCTTCCATTTGAATCTGATGTTACTCCTTGTTCTTTGCCTTCCTTTACAACGCTTGTGACGATGGAGTCCATGCTCACACTTTGTGTGGAAATTAGATTTACTCAGATCTTTCTATTATCTGTCTAGGGTTAATTGCAAGGATGGTCACTGAGTTTACTAAAACCGTTCATGTTTGGTCACTGCAAATATTTAATTCCATTTATGATCACTAAGATTAGTTCAATAGTTCAAGTTTGGTCACTCTCCGTTAGTTTTTGCTGATGTGGCAGTCAACTATTATAGTTGACCGTTAAATGAGTGACTTGGCCATTAAAAAAATAATAAAATAATAAAATTTAAATATTTAAATATTTATAATTTCCATCTCATTTTACAACTATTAAAAAATAAAAATAAACTTACCTCTGCCCTCCTCCTCCTCTGCCACTGGACCATCTCCTTCTTTCCAAACCCCAGCTAGCAATGGTGTCGCTGTCCCCCTTCTCTTCCCTCCTCCTCTTCCTTTTCCCCTTCCTCCACTCAATCTACCCACCCACGGCTGTTTTTATTACGGTGGGATTTAATTATGATTACCAGGAAGTTGGCCGAGCTTGGATATCATCGAAGCGCCAAGAAATGCAAAGAGAAGTTTGAGAATGTGTACAAGTACCACAAGCGCACCAAGGATGTCCGTACGAGCAAACAGGAAGGCAAAAACTATCGCTTCTTCGAGTAATTAGCCGCCTTCGAATCCCAGCCTCCCGCCGGAGCCACTCCCACTCCTCCACCGCCGCATCCGGCGCAACGACAATGCCAGCCTTCAATCCACCTCCTCCACCGCAGGCTCAGCCCGCCGCCTTCGTCACCATGGCTCATCACATTACAACTGTTCCATCGACAACTGTTCCTCCGCCGGTGGTTGCACCACCAATTACTATCACCGCTCCTTCCTATCCGCCGGCTCCACAATCGACGATCCAGCCTCTCTATCCTCCTTCTTTCTCCACCTTTTCAACAGATCTGATGTCGAATTCGCCCTCCTCTTCGTCTTCAACATCGTCCGAAGTGGAGCTCCACCCCGGCGGCCGGCACAAGCGGAAGCGGAAGGACTTCTTCGAGCGGCCGATGACGAAAGTGGTCCACAAGCAGGAAGAGATGCAGCGGAAGTTTCTAGAAGCCATCGAGAAGCGCGAGCACGAACGAATGGCGCGTGAGGAGTCGTGGCGAATGCAAGAAATGTCCCGGATAAATCGGGAGCGCGAGATCCTTGCTCAGGAGCAGTCCATCGCCGCCGCCAAAGATGCCGCCGTGATGTCGTTCCTCCAGAAGCTCTCCGACCAGCAAAACTCCGAAAATTTTCATTCTCCACTTGCGCATGTGCTTCGAATTGCCATTACTGCCTGAGCGCCGTTGAAGTTTTATTTTTAATTTTTAATAGTTGTAAAATGAGGTGGAATTGTAAATATTTACATTTTTTTTAATGGCCACGTCACTCATTTAACGGTCAACTATAATAGTTGACTGCCACATCAGCAAAAACTAACGGAGACTAACGGAGAGTGACCAAACTTGAACTATTGAACTAATCTTAGTGACCATGAATAGAATTAAATATTTGCAGTGACCAAACATGAACGGTTTTAGTAAACCCAGTGACCATCTTTGCAATTAACCCTATCTGTCTATATAATTATTATCTATATCATCCTCGTTTCCCTTTTTTTGCCAATTATTTATTTTGCAGAATGTGAAGACCATCATATTGTATGAACTTGATTTTAGGTCAGGTTCTAGATAAAGATTGATTGACCCGCCAATGTGCTCGATGAATTGAGTTCTTGCCATCATTTTTGTACTTCAGTACCGAGGTGCTATGTGATTTGACTTCATGCAATTGGGGATTAAACTCCCCAAACGTACATATTCATTTTTGAATGCATTCAATTGTCTCACCAGGTCTTTGAGAAGTTTGGACCAATCCATTCTTCAGGAATCCAATTTGAGAAAAATAAAACTCGAGTCAGACTCTGCAGAGTCTGTAGCTGGTTCTTGACATGGTATTAGAGCATTTTGTGATCGAGAGAGGTCTTGTGTTCGATTGCCGGTGACTCCTATTTGGTAAGCACAGGGGCGGACGAACGGAGGTTTAGGGGTGTCCCGGGACACCTCTAAATTTTGGGGAAACGATTATTCAACCCACTGTAGTAATTTATGTATAGGTAAAAAATTTATAATTGGTAGTGAGGGACACCCCTGAAATTTGAAAAAAATGATTATTCTAATGTCATTTTTTAAATTTGTGTATGGGAATATAAATGATAGGTTGGGTAATTCAAACCTATAGCACTATTATTATTAACAAACTTAATTTCCATTAAACTACAACTCATTTATTGTTTGATTTTGAACACTGTATCATAGTAAAATGTCATTCCCTTTTTCTAATTATTTTCAAAACATAGCAATTCAACTAATTTCAACCTACCCTTAATTTGTATTGATTTTATGGTTGTACGACAAGTGTTGAAAGATTCTTTCAGCTTTGGGTTACATCAAGAACAAGTTTACAAATCGAATATGCGATAAGTTCGTGAGTGATTGTCTAAAAGAGTATATAGAGACAATTTTTTTTAGCACAGACACCAAGTGTATTCTACAATTATTTCAGAATATGAAAATACATAATGGATTTTTTAACCTGTACGAGTAAGGTATTTTCTAATTTACAATTTTATTTTTATTAATTATTTTATTTTTTAAATTTACCTTTAAAAAGAGGACACCCCTATGAAAAATTTCTGGGTCCGCCACTGGGTAAGCATATGGTATTCTTGTCTTCAGACCTGTGCAAACTTCAAGCCCTTGTGAGTGGCTTTCGTTTGAGGGGGGCGTGTTAGTGTTGTGGTATATGATCCACAATTGAACATCTCCCAACAACTCGCACTCGAGTTATTGGATGAATTCCAAAAATATACATGTTTTTACAAAAATTCCCCAAAATACACACGTTATAATTTTTTTTCCAAAATACACATGTTTGGGCATCACCGCTGTTGTCAACCGCAGTGAATGCATTCACCGCGACAGACCAAAGCGGTGAATGCATCATCGCGGTTGACGGCCACGGTGAAGACCCGACTTAACTCTGAAACTTCAAACAAACTTAACTTTGCGCTCAGTTATCCGATTGTAGTGAATTTTTTTTTTTTGATTCCATATAACTTTTTAAGATCTTTCAATCTGCAACAAAACTTAATCTCAAAAAAATGTCGTTTGTTACCCTGAACGAGCAATTTTTCGATTTTGCCAAACTTTGGAAGGACATAACTTTTAGCTCCTCAATCGAACGTCGTAAAGTTTTTTTATTGCGCATAACTTTTTAAGAACTACAACTTTGACTAGGAAATAATTTTTTAAAAATGAAGTATTTTTGGGTATACGGGATTTTGGGAATAACTTTGTCTTTACTTTTCACAAATCCACATACTTTCCAAAATTATGGTTATAATCAAAGTTTTAGTACTTCAAAATTTATGCAAAATCAAAAAAAGTTTCATGACATTCGGATTGTGGAGCACAAAGTTATGATCTTCCAAAGTTTGTTACGGTAATACCAAATATAGACAAATTCGGTACGGTATTCGGTATATCCCAAATACCGGTACCAAACTTCCAGCCCTAACCGTGGCCGTCAACCGCGGTGATGCATTCACCGGTTTGGTCTGCCGGGGTGAATGCATTCACTGCGGTTGACAACAGCGGTGATGCCCAAACATGTGTATTTTGAGAATATTTTTTATAACGTGTGTATTTTGAGAATTTTTTTTAAAAAACATGTGTATTTTGAGATTTTTTTCCGAGTTATTGGGATCAACTGGTTCTTAACACTAGCTAGTTCGATAAATGGGTCCCTTTGTACTTTCTATGTTCAATCAATAAAATGGGTTCTTTATTTTTGGTTGGATCGTCAAGGGTTGTATCGCGAGATTGGGGCGGACAGTGAGAAAAGAAGGCTTAACTTTTGTTACTGAATAACATTTTCTAAACTTGGGAAGAGAGATGAAGACATGTGGTGCCGGAACGATGATCTACGTCTCCACTGCCAAGCTCGCCGTCATCGACGAGCCGGAACGACCGAGTCTCTCGCCGATCCCTGCCGCTGCTGATCCTGCTTTCTCCACTCCGGAGGAGAAGGAGCACCGGTTGCCGAAGCCGGAGACCTGTCCTCCCGCGCCGCTCAGAGCTCCTGCGAAGCGCAAGCTCTCCCGCTCCGCTATCCTCAAGGCGACCAAAAAGTTCCGGGCGGCCAGGGAGTTCTTCCTCTCGCCGGAGCTCGAAGCCGCGGCTCTTCGTCAACATCTTGCTGCCGAGACCGCCCGTCGCGCTCCTCTCAAGTGCGATCTCCGGACTCTCAAGCTGCCGGCGGATCATCTCCCCACAGGCCTGAATCTTGTCGGTTACAATCACAAACGGTGTGACGGTTACACTTCTTCGCCGACGGTTCAGATAAGTATTCCTTTATTATTATTATTATTATTATTATTATTATTTATTTCCCTTAATAATTATCCTTCATTATTTATTTATTTATTTTTAATTATTCTTTCCAAAAAATTTCATTTTTCTCGTATGTATCTGTTGCCTTCTTTTTAAATTTTTATACTTGCAAATTGTTAGGTCCCCGCATCTAGGTTGTACCTTTTATTAAATAGAAAAAAAAGTGTAGGTGTTTATCGGGTGGTGCCAGTTATCTAGGGTTTCCCGATCACCTGGTACTCTATTTCAAGGGCGAGTTGATGCCTTGTGTCTATGTTGACTTGTTGGCTCTTTGGCCTGGATTGTTCTAGTAGGGACCTTTGTTTGCTCATTTTGCAGGTGAAGATTCAATTGCACAATAGTCGATCGGTGGCGGCTGTCTTGTCCACTAGGTGGTCTTTTGATGAGATTTGATGGAGCACTTGGAAATGACGCCCTTGATGTTGAAGGAAACCCTTGAACACTATTAATATTTAGTTTGATGGTGCGGTCAAGCATAGTCACGAAGGTAGTATTGGCTTTGTGGGTTTCCAATCGTCAGGTAATATCTTATTTGCTTTCGGAAAGAGTTATGAAGGATTACAAGATCCTTTTGTTATACTGGAGGCAATACAGTGGTGCCTGACACATTTCTTTGTCTCTGTCAAATTTCATGGGGATTCACAACAAATTGATACGGCGGGATGGTGGGAGGCGACTTGGCGCATGATCGGGGTGGAGCTCTATTCGAGGATACTCGGAGCTTAGCTTCTCACTTCAGTCGGATTTCTTACTGCTTTGTTTCTCGTCGACTAAATAGGGCTGCCCATCATGTGGCACAAAAGTCCCTCTCATCGGGAGTTCGACTATTGGTCGACTCCCGCGTTTTTCTTTCTTCCTCCTTGTGACTATCTTTTCAACACTGACTTTGCCAAAAAAAAAAAAGGGTTCTTTCTCTCTACGCAACAATTCATTTCTTTCCATAAATCGTGTCCAGGTTTCACTGTTTCAGGCAAGCGCCATGAATTTGCATAAGAATTTCAGTAACACTCAGTGAAAAGCTTTCCATCGGGTTCAAGATTTTTGGAACGAGTGAAACAAATATTTGGTTTCTATCTTAGACAGATTGAGCCAAATGATGTTCCTTCATTCCGATGTGAAGAAATTTTCAGTCATCATCAGTTATGGCGTACAAAGTTGGTGCTTCCAAGATGAAGAAAATCAATCAATATTATATTGTAATACTATGATAGAACCTAGTATTAGGGTTTTATCGGATCTGGTTGTGAGATTGGGAATTAGGAATTTTAGAATAGAATTAGGGATTTAAGAAGAGAAAGATACAGAATCGGCCTAAGTCTTTAGAGGGATTGAGATCTAGAATTGAGAGGATTGGGAGATTAGGTTTATGGGAGATTTCTTAATATTCTTCTTAACTAATTTCGAATAAATTGCAAAGTACATATTTATAGCTAAAGACTGGAAAAACCTAATCGACTATCCTAATATGACTCGAAAACCACTAACCATCTAATAAAATCCTAATAATAACTATAATAATAATACCATAATAAAAACTGTAGGTTTCTATCATCCCCTCCACCTTGAGATCAACCTTGCCCTCAAGGTTGAACGACTCGACCCACTTTTTCACTCTGTCCGTGCAATCCACGCCTTGACTCCTCCATTTCTTGCGCTTCCATTTTCTCTAATCGTGCTCCATGGCCCGATCGAATCTCATACCAGCAACTCCGGCGCCCATTGCTTCTTCCCTACCCACGTGGCTCGGGTCGCAACCATGGCCAAATGGTCTTTCGTCCTCCTTTTCAAACTCTACAAAGTAAGAACCGGAAAAATGCTCTTCCTTATTTCCTCCACCATTACCGTCTTTTGGATCTTTAAGTGGGCACTTCCCTGTATGAATAGTGATGGAGCCCTGCCATGGCTCTTCCCAAAATTCGATTTCTGCGTCCTTGGCTCGGCTCCCAATCGCTTGGAGGAAAGAGCCATGGTCTAAATTCAAGCCAATGTCAAGCCCTATTTTGCTCCACTCCTCATTAAATTTGATTGGGCTTGTGTCTTTTAAAAGACCACCCTCCAACCCAGAGGGCTCACCTTCTATTTTCTTCAATTTCACTCTTTGTAAAGGAAGGCCCACGTGGAGCCTAAAATTGTCCCAGGAATTCGGCTCATCTTCTTTTGTGAAGTCGCTGGCCCGCTTCTGATGCAGCCCAGGATAAAGCCTTAGTTTGGCCCACCCCCTTCTCAAACTTAGGCCGATCTGCCAATCCATTTGGCCTGAAACGAGTCCCTCAGCTCGGCCCGGAATGCTTCCTATAACCCAAATTCATGGCCCGCTCACGTCAAGTCCCGGCCCGCTCCACTGGTTCAGTCGGCCAACCAGATTGAACCGGACTCGGCCCACTTCTTCCCTTCCCACTCCAGAGCCGCGACCCAGATCGCTCGACCCAACCCTGCGGGTTGCTTTATTGGCCGAACCAAACCTGACGACCTTTGGTCTGCGAGAGGGTGGAAACCAGCGCCGTTCTCCTCCTCTGCGTTCGCCTCTAGCGACAATTCCTCCACCCGGCCGCGAGGAGCCAAGTACGATTCCAACCTCACCTCCTTCTCCATCTTCACTTGTTTCTCCGACGGAGCGCATGCTGTCGCGTTTCACGGCGAGTAGTTCGCTAGGTGGTGGGGAGTAGGCCTCGACAAGGTGGCCCCCTGATTAGGGTTGCCGAAATGATGGATCACGCCGCCAGTCTCCCTCGGTTCTTCCTCCTGCCGAATCTCCTCCTTCATCTCCATTTCCGGCGCCAAACGACGAATCGTACCGTCGCCTCCCTTCTTCTTCTTCTCGTCCTCAAGTGGCGAGCCCAATTCCTTCTTGGACTCCAACTCCATCGGCGAGTCCTCCACCAGATCTACCCCCGACTTCGCCTCACCTTCACTCCGCGGCACGACCGAAGCTGCCGCCAATCGCGGCATTTCACTGTCGATTCGACGCTCTGACCCCTCTACGCTGCGTGCGCTGTCGATTCCGGCTCCGGGCTCCGCCCCCGAGTTCGTCACCATGGCGGCAAGTCTCTTCTTATTCCAGTCCCTCACTTTCTCTTCCACCCCTGACGACGACTTCTTCACCTTCTCCTCGGAATCGTCCTTCTGTGGCGGGAAACCCCTTGTCCAACGATCCGGAGGCCAACCCAACATCTCCAACGTCTTCAGATCCTTCTGCTTTGGTCTTCTTTTCTTCTTGAATCTCCTGCTTGCGATGCAGACTGGGATTCTCTTCCCACCATCACTGACGGCGCTTTTAGGGTTCTTGCTCGTCAGTGCCCCCACGATGGGCATCCCTGGTTCAGGGACGTCAAAGGCAGGGGATGGCGGTGTAGTGACGTTGATGACCATCGGCGATGGTTCCACGACAGCATGTGGTCCTTTTTCGGTGGTTGCCTCTTTCTCATCGGCGGTATTCGCAAGGGATGTGACGGAAGTCTCCTTTTCCTGAGCTGCGGCAGGTAAGGGAGGGGCTTCCGGTTGGCCTCTGATGTTGCCGCCGCCAACCTTTCTTCTTTGTCATCCATCGTCAACCAAATTTGAGTAGCAGGTGGAACGGCGGTCAGTTCTTCGAGCGGCCCGACTTTGGCGTTCTCCCCCGTCACAGTTTGGATCTTTGGCATATGAACAATCTGCCTGTATTTGTCAAACCAAAAAGTCGAGAATTTGTTGGTGTCAAAATCTGACCTGAGCCTAACCTTTGCTTCGAAGCGACCCCACCTACAATCTTCATCCAATGGTTGTTCCCCGTGTACTGTTATTATATTGGATAAAGATTTCACGTTTGCCTTCTTGAACCACTGCGGCAAGCAGAAGAACAGCTCGATGTATGAACCCTTCACTAGTTTAGTGACCTTGGGGATGAAATCTTCATAGACGCATTTGGTTTCCATGGTCCCGATTGAGAGTTGTGATTAACTCGATTTCGCAACCAGGCTCTGATACCAAATGATAGAACCTGGTATTAGGGTTCTATCGGATCTGGTTGTGAGATTGGGAATTAGGGATTTAAGAATAGAATTATGAATTTGAGAAGAGAAAGATAGAGAATCGGCCTAAGCCTTTAGAGGGATTGAGATCTAGAACTGAGAGGATTGGGAGATTAGGGTTTAGGGGAGATTTCTTAATATTCTTCTTGATTGATTCCGAATAAATCGCAAAGTACATATTTATAGCTAAAGACTGGAAAACCCTAATCGACTATCCTAATATGACTCGAAAACCACTAACGTATCTAATAAAATCCTAATAATAACTATAATAATAATACCAAAATAGAAACCGTAGGTTTCTATCATACTATTCCATAGAGGGAAGTGCAGATGAATTAGCAGCTATTCGGAGAAGAAGAGAGGTGATTTGAGGATCGTGGGATGGACTTGTGAGCTACCGTCGGCCACATCTTGCACAACTTGCCTTATCACTCTGTTCTTGGATATTTTCGTGGGCAGAGTGCTTTTGAATATGGTAAATTGTGTGGGTGAGGGCTTCACAGAAATAAAAGAAACTTCATCGAATTGGTTTAGTTGCAAGTAGGGGGTGAACGAACACACCTTCAAACCGACCTATTCGTCCAATCCGATCCAACTCACTCGTATTTATTGCTAAAACGAAGGTATTGGGTTGGGTGAGAGTTTTCTTTTGTACAACCCGCCTCTTTGGGTTGGGTTTTGCTTTTGGATTACACAACCCGTAGAACCCGACCCAACCCGTGCTCCAGCTATTCGTTTGAGTTCGTATCCAAAAAATATTTATGTCGCATATAGCCATACTTATGAGAAAATTAAGATATTTCGCCATATTTTTCTCTCATGGTCTCCCTAATATAAAGCATTTTTTGCCTTAAAGTTTACATAAATTTAATATATATATATGATTCACGTAATCCTTTTTCTTGTGCACAATTTTAATAGAATAACATATTATGGATGTGTTAGTTTATAACCTATTTAGCCTATTTCAACAAATGTCGTGAAAAAAACTACCCATATGCTGAAGTAAATCCCATTTTATTAAAATTCAAACAACATTTGTGAATTTTGATACCTTTCACCTCGGTTTATTCATTTGAAATTTTAATTAGTTATAAAATATTTTCTTACAATGTAAAATAATTACATATTTTGTGTTGGGTTAGGTTTTTACTTAAAAATATCGCCAACCCAACCCAATTAGAAACAAACCGTAGGGTTTAAATTTTTTTAGGTGGATTTGGGTTTAATATTTCCCAAACCATAGTGCATGGGAGAGGTAAAAAACCGCCCACTACTTTTTTTTGCTGAAAATCTCCTTCCTCTTTCCTGTTCTCATCGCAGCAAATCTCCTGCTACACTCAACCGCCCATTTTCTCACCAGAGGAAAAGCTCCCCCAATCACCCTTTCTTTCCCGGTCGAAGCTACAACCCACGAATCGGAGACCAACCCCCGTCCGCCGTACAGAATAGCCGCCAAGAGAAATCTCTCTAGCATTTCGCAGAACTAGAATTGGCAACCAGTCAGCGGAGGCTTTATTTTTCGTGCTTCATCCCCTTGCCCGATCGGAGGCTTGATTCCTCGATTTCTGCAACAGAAGCGAGTGGTAGAGATTCGAAGCTGGTATACTACGCCCTTCCATCCCCAATTTGGTGATTTTCTTGAACAGCGACCTGCAATCCACAGAACTGCAATTAGAAACCTGCTGACGGAGAGCTTTCGTTCGTGTTTCTTCTCTTGCCAGATCGGACTTGCAATCATTGCGCGTTGCTTCTCCTTACCCAATCAGAGCCGACATTCTTGCATTGCTGCAACGAAATAAAGTGTTAGGGTGGTAGGAATCCGGTATTCTGGTCGCCTTCCACCCCTAATTGGGTCCTCCGATCAGACAGCCACCGCCCGTGATTCCCCTCTAATTGCCGGATCAAGTAACCAATAGTGGCTGATACCCACAGGTCAATCCATTAATCGTAGTTCACGCCCTCCGTTTGATCACGATATCTTCTGGGCCACTTTCCACAGTCGTATAGGTACATTTTCGCCATCTAACTTGGTTTCATTAATCTACCTCATTAGAATCCATGTCAAGTTCCTGTTAGAGGTTATATACGCGTGGTTTGAATAACTGATACACACATGTCTTGTAGACCCATCGGTATATAATTCGATATAGGCAGAAATTTTGTACTAAAATTATAAGGATTGGTCACTCTGTTGCTATGGTGCTCATTTGTTACTCATTGTATCTATGGTTAGTAGGAGAATATGCTTTTACGTCCTCCGGTGTCACAACAAATTGGGACAGGTGGGAGAAGTGAATTGTTGCTTCAATATGTTGTTGCTGAATAAACATGTAAACTGTGGAGCTAGATCAATTCTAGAATTTCTGTCCTGAATAGTTACTGTTACAACTTCATGGCAGCATCAAGACATTTAATAGTTCCTTCAGCTTACAAATTCAGTGATCATATGTTAACTGTTTTTTATGGTTTCTCATGATCTACGCTAAGCTCCCTTCAGCTTACATGTTCCATTCTTTTGTGGGATTCAATGAATGCCAGTCTTCTTCTTTTCCATTGTGTGGATCAAGTCCAGAATTTCTGAATCCTGACGATCATTTTGGTGGTTTTATTCGGTCAATTCATTCTTCACAGTCTTCCATGTCTGTTTTTTTGTGTTTCAGTTACTATGCTCTGTATACTTGATCTCAAATTATATCTAAGGTGCTTGGATGGGAGCGTTTGTATACCTTATTGCCTCCTAATTTAGTGAAGAAACCATAATTCATTAATTCATCGTGCACACCCACCTCAATTTTAGTTAATGTTGGGAAATGTATGTTGTCAAATGTCTAGAATCGCAGACAAGTCACTGAATTGTTATTAAAAAGTTCTATGAGTTGTTATTAGAAAGCTTCTGACTTGGGCAATTAAAACCACATATATTTGGTGATTTACGTGTTGTCAAAGGCATTTCAGCTGAGGCCTGAGGGGGTGTAAACGGGTAGGCAAAAGCAAGAGTAGCCTATAATTATTTGTTTACATTGAATTGCATGCTTGCTTATGTTTGCTTGCTCTTTTCATATACGAGACCCCTACTGATATATGCTTCCTCTTTTCCTTTCTAATTTGGGTCAACAAAGGTCAGCAGTAGTTGAAGTCACAATTGAGTGGAGATGGGGGAAATTTAGGAACGAACTTGCCTCAGAACTTGAAGAGAAGAGGTAATGCGAATGCATATATTGTTGGGCAAACTAAATAGGGGTTATGTTAAATGATAAACAAAATATAATCATGTTCATCTTTAGTGTTCAGATATGTGCTCCGCCTGTCGCAAGCAGCTAAAGCCACCACTTCTCAACAGGAAACCGCCATTGATTATTCACCTTGGCCTCATTCTAGAAGCGACCACCACCGCCAAATTCCGGTACCCGGCGATTTCCGCCCTTAATTCTCTGTTTTTCCTCTTTTGCCTTTGTTTCTGGTTTGTACCGATGAAGTGAGGGTATACGCTTATTGTAGAGGAATTGAAATGTGAGTCATGTGCTTCAACTACTTATTCTAGCTAATGAATCCAAAAAATGTCAGACATGTGCTTTAAAACCAAGTTCAGTTTCAGGCTTTCCGGCCTTTGTTCAGTTTAAAAAACTGAGTTCTTTCTATTTCCATGATGTTTTTCTGCATTATTTGGTCACTTTGGAACCATTGGGCCTGTGTTTGATTGCCAGCAAAATGTAGTTGTTGTGAGCTATCCGGCTAACTGAAACAATTCAGTATGATCAAGATATTCTATGTTGGGTATTTTGGTTTCATTGTTTATTTACTATCGCTGTCAAATTGGTGAGTATTTTTTGGTGTTCTTGCAGGTCCGAGAATACATTGATGACACAGGAGCACAGAGAATTGGAGTGCCTCTCCTCCCAAACCAATTTCCCGAGTACCATCCTTCTCATCTCAACCAAAAAGGCGTCGAACCATCCTGCCCACGGGAAAGAGTCAACCGAGAACGAACGAGGGATTCGAATATATGCGAGCTCTAGGACAGCGACATACCCACTGCTCATCAATCAATCAGAAGGATTGAAAAATGATGGATAATGAGCGAGAAAGAAAAAAAGGAAGGGAGAGTGAGTAAGGTCTCACGAAAACCCGACGAAGAAATACCAACACGATAAAGAAGAAGAGATATTTCAGAAGCTTCCACGATTAATATGCACTAATTCCCGGTATGTGTTCCTCCCTGCACCAGTGTTGATATTGGTTCTTTCACCTTTGTTCACTGTCTGCATGATGATTTTAAAGACATAGTTAGAGGAATATGCCATTACAAACCTTTTGTTGTTAATTAGTACAATAGGGCATCTTTGATCCTACAACTTTGCTCTCAAGTCTCAATACATATACGGAAGCTAAAATTAAAAAGAGAAAGGTTAATTCAAATATTCCTGTGCTCACAAATTTCCTCGCTGTATTTTGATAACTTTCCTCTCTACAATCTAATTGATCCATGATTTCTCCCTAATTCAAGGTAGTAAGAAACTTGCCGCGCTGGAGACAACCCCCTTCCCACCACCCCCACCCAGTTTCTTACCTGGTGAAAATCCGTTGTCTGCAAAATCGTCAAGGCAAGTGTAAAATTGGCAGGTAATATTTTTAAATAACCCATTTAATTGACAGTTGCCGTTGAATAATCATGTCTCATTCTGGGTTTGCTTTCTGTTAATTGGAGTTATCCTTAGGATTTTGGCGTATTCATTGCTTTCCAGAAGCGTCACTGAATGGGGAAGAACCCATGCACACCGCAGAGACATGCTACTTCCGTCGTAACACTGCAATAAAGCATATCTGGAACGCGGCTTGGAACATAAACTATCAGAATGCGAGTGCTTGGTGTATTAAAGATCCTCCGGTAAGCATTCCTCATTCTGCTTCTTCTTCTTAACTTATGATGGTAGCCGCTAAAACCCTCAATGGTAGCCTCCAGGTGGGTACAGGATAAACCCTGACTGGGTCAAGCTGAATAGGACCCTCAAACTCAAGGCAAGGTGCCTCCTTACTTACTCTACCTAGATCATGACCACTCCGATATTGTGCTAGCGGGTTGAATCTGGTGGAGTGTGATTACAAGTTGATGTTGGATGATAAATTGGGAAAGAGGAAGACTGATGGTGGGTATGTGCACAATGAGTTGTTGAAAGCTACGGGTTTGATTCTTGATCAGAGTGTGGAGTTTTGAACGAGTAGGAGGAGAGGTATCTGAGTTGTAGTCTCACTTCCGCAAGGCATTCGCTTGGGTCGGGTGTCACTGTGATGCTGGCGTTGGTGGTGGTTTTGAATTTTGGGAAGTTGGGGAATATTAAGAGGAAGAGGGTCAGGTGCTTTGCTATTACGTCGGCTAGATGTATGTCGTTGAACTTGACTGTTAGATACGCTTATATAATTAACTCTGTTGTGTTTCAGGCAAGTGATGATCAACTTACACTTCAGATGTTATCAAATTAAGTTGCTAAACAATACATGGGCAAGAAACTGAATTGCATTCCGATTTGCTTGACGAATCACATTTCCAGACGTTTGAATGTCCACAGGATGATTCTTGCAGCGGACTGTGATGCTGTTGTAAGACATCTTCACTTAACTTTTCTGGCACATTATGTTTGCCTTTCCCATCAAGGTAATTGCTTTCTGGAAGAAAAGAAGGAAAAACTGGAATGTATAATGTTTTGGCGTGAGTATGATGTTTACAAGGTTGGACTGAAATGGGTTTGCTATTGCGTTTTGATGTTTTGATATTGCAGTTTGCCGTTCCTGCTATGCCTAAGGTGCATGAGGGAAACCTGTATCTCAGAAGTCCAGATGATCTAAGGAGGGTTTATGCATCTGATCGCCTCTATCACATTGTTGAAAGGAAGCCTTTCTGGTATATAACAACTTCCTCACTCAAACTTAGCCACCAATTAAGACTAATGAGAATATTACTCATAATAATTTCAATTATGTCTATGTTCATCACTAAATTCTTATTTCTATTAGAAATTCAGCCAAACCTTTCTTAAATCCGATTCTAATAAAAAGCTTTCTCCGGTTACCTGCTTAATGCGACCATGGTGTTCAAAATGTTTTTTCTCAACCTTAGGTGGGGATTAGGGTGTTATGTCTACATGGTATTTCACAGGCCACTAAATAAACTTTATTAATCTTGAACCAATAATATAATGATTCGAAATTCATTTGATAAATGAGGTGTCTCAAATCCAAGAACTTCGGTGTCAGTATACTTGCTTATTGTCCTGGTTTGATGCTTTTTCGCTTATTAGTTTCAATTAAAAAAAACGGAGATCATATGGAAGACTAAACAACTGGGGAAGAGTCCATCTTGCTGAAATTCTATGAAAAAAGGGGTCCAAGGACACTCTTTTTGTTAATACACAGGTAAGCAAGAGCAAAGATATATCAAGAGAGGGCATGGTCTTGTTTTCTTTGTAGTACAACTGTTGTGATATTTAAAGTTGGTGGATAAAAGACCACCTTTTTAGCATGTTTCATACTTCAGAGTTGAAAATCTCTTGATGTTGAACGGTATTTGTTGTAAGCATGTTGAAAAACATATGAAAGTCTTTGACACACTCTGCATATATTTCTATAATTTATTTCTTTAGCTGGGAGTATTATCGGTAGAGAAATTGTTGCTTAGTAGATATATGTTATGATGTGGGAAACACTGTTAGCTTAAAGAGAGGAGTTTTATGATTTGTAACTGGTATGCATGGACCACATTTATCCTAATTTGATTCCCATGTCATGCATTTGACCATAAAACTACGGCCCTGTTTACTTTCATTTCCGTTTCCTGTTTTTGAGAAAACAGATGTTGAAAACAGGTGAAAACGATATTTTTTCGTTTTCGTAAACAGTAGGAAGTTGCCACTTTCTGTTTTCAGAGTTGGAAACGAATAGAAAACAGAATGAAAAGTAAACATGTTTTCTCATTTCGTTTGCCAAATTTATAACATGAAAACAGAAAACAGGAAACGAAAATGGAAGTGAACAGGGCCGTCTTTAGGTTTGTTTTGTTTTGCTGCTTTGGTGGGTACGGTTTAGTCAGTTAGGAATATTGGGTTGTTGAATGTCTAAAGAACCTGATTCATGTTCTCGCTGCATTTTTTTCATTTGTGATACCATTGATATGATCAATATTTTCACCCATTCCAGTTCCGAAAACTGGTTTATTCATAGGTACACATACTTAGAGAACTTTCTTTACCATTAATTACTGATTGTGCAATGAGAAAAGTGAAATTTCATTTCAACCTTCAGAGGCTTTTGCGGAGGGATAATTTGGGAAGCCACAATTTCAATTTTCATTCCTCAAATCCAATTCCAGGGACCACCCACCCCAATTTGCAGGCTTATGCCCAATGCTCCCGCTTTGGATCTCCAAAATGCGAATTAGAGAAAGAGCACACATAATTCGCATATCGTTTCTTCCGAAATGCAATTTTGTTGGGGAAGTACGCGACTCAATCGGATTTTTGAAACTTGAAAGTCTGAACTATTAATTGAGAGTGCAGCAGAAGAGAACATTTTGACAGAATATTGTGGCTGCAAGTTTTGATAAAAGAAGGAGAGGACAAATTGGTGGAACGATGGTGTAACTGAAAAAGAAAATTGTCAGCTCTATCAAAGGATGATCTGGACATGCAGCATCCAATCTCACACCCCTATCATGACACCGCCCTCCAGATGGCGTTTAGAAGCTCAACTCTGACACCAGGGTTCTTGGTAGAGATGCTAAATGCATGGGTGATGCGGTGAGAGATTGGAGAGGAGAATTTTATTTTTCGATTCTCTGGGCATGAAAGAGGGATATACAACATAGAGCTGGCGGAGAGTAGAGTAGAGTTTTTTTGGATGAGAATTTCAGAAGCCATGACCAGGTGCTTCTCTTTTCTGCTGGTTGAAACATATGGCCTCTCAATAATCAGCAAGCTCTCCAAAGAAGAAGAACAAAAAAACATAGATGGCTTTAGAACGTGAATGGGTTTGGTAAAGAAAAATCCCTTATAAAAAGAAATAATAGGATTTCAAAATTATACTGAGAAATGGAAGCCCAAAGCCAACTGATTACATTTTTTTTAATTATTTATATTTAAAGGTTCAAATAGTCTTATAAACTTATCAACTAAATAAATTTATAGATAAAAAAATGAAAATGTCTTGATATTTTTCCACCAAAAAATAAGAGTATCCGAACACGCTTGTATGAAACAGTAACGTATGCATTTCATTTTACTAAACTTCCATGTATCAGTTATATATCATTGTCAAAACAATATCAGCTATATAACAACTTTTTTTCATTAGGAGGCAATCATTTATATAGCTAAATAAATGTTATTTTAAAAATTTTATTGCAAATATCTTTTAATTATACTAAATAAATAATTCATTGTAATATAATAATAACGATTTGTCCACACTCTCTATATTAAATTGTTTTAAAATAGACGCTCTCACGCTCCATGAATTGGTTAACTAAGTCGCCTCCCCTCCTGTAAGACTATTTGGGAGAGTAGAGAGCTTTGGTTGGATAGACCACAAGTGTTTTTGATTAATCAGCTGCGGCCGGACGATGTAACAGCAACGTCTGATTAATATACCTGTTTAAACTTTTGATAAAAAATCATCAATAAATTATTTAGAAAAATCCAAATCATCCTAATCCTAACAACACTATATGGAGGTTCTTGACCAGAACCCCCCTTAATCCCCGTTTTGCTGCTCTCTGCGCAATCTACGGAGGGAGATTTTGGTAAATTTATGCGTGCATTAATTCAATGATCTGGGCCAGGCCCATTCTTCTTTTCCTTGCAAACTTGCGACACGGAAACAATAATTGAGACACTATTGGATTTACTTGGAGAGTTCTTTTGGACGATAATAGCAGCACTCGAGCGGCACGAAGCCACGAAGTAGAAGCTGTGTGTGAGGCCGCTCTAACTCCGATTCTGCTCCACCAGTCTTTCTTCCACCAGCCAAGCCAATAACAACGATTAACAATCACCTCTCTAAAAAACTCTTCAGTCCTCATCGCCTGACTTCTCTCCCCCAACCCCACGGTTTTGCTATCCCGCCGCCGATTTGGATCTCAATTCCCCCTGCATGTCGTCCTTTCCCCTGCTCCTCAATTGTAGCTCCCGACTTGCCTCTGTTTTTCACTTTTTTGTTTTTTCGATCTTTGCAGCTCCTTAATTGCATGTCGTCTTTTATCATCCTTGAGGAAGGTACACTTTCCGTGAAGGGTTCTGGTTGATCAGATCTGCCATTTCGGTCGATTAAGCAGTTGGGACCATAGATAGAGACTATTCAAAAGGAGATGCAAAAGAGATGGAGGCTTTCAATCGATTTCTCCGCATGTGTGGCGTTCTCTTCGGCCATCTCAACCGCTCCGCTTTCAATTGATTGCATGTGCGGTAATCAATTTCCGTGCAGGAGGCAACAACCATTTCGCAGAGCAGCTGGTCACTCGAGGGAAGAGATATTTATATAAGTCGGTCAGGAGATCCTATGTTGTTAGTTTCGAATCGTTGTTTTTCTTTAGATCGCCTTTTGCTATGGACTTTGGTTTTTTTGCGTGTATGTGATGTCTCTGCAGGGGTTTGTCCCTTTTGCCTCTGCAGATGGTTGCTGCTCCAGCTGTGGTGTCTGTTTGTTTAGGTGTCTCATTTCCTAATTAATTGTTGCAATAACTCAACAATTTATATGGGCATTTTGAATGAAAATATATATGTAAATAGATGAAATGTTTGTTTTCTTATATCATATATGTATATAATTTTTTTGGTTACGTTTTCAATATTTGAAACAATTTTTTTAAAGGCAAACCGATATGAATTACCCCAAACATTATATATATTTGAAACAATCTTGGTAGTTGAGTTAGGATGCTCTTACTTTATGTCAAAGTTTTGTGTTTCTAATTTTTGTTTTTCGGATGGTCTTACTTTATGTGAAACTTATTTCCTTTAATTTTTGTGTTTCAAATAGTGAGTCAGTGGACTCGTCAAATCGAAGAGGTTAATCTGGCCCAATCCCAAACCATTGAAACAAACAATTGAACTTCTATTGTAACTGCTTTGGTGGTTCTACTAAAATTAGTAGTTCAGTAAGGATGGTCTTAGTTTATTTAAATTTTTTTATTTTTATTGTTGTGGTTAAAAAGCTAAGTCAGTGAACCAGTACAACCAGAGGTATTTATTTGGTCTCATGTCCAACCATAAAAATCGTTTTTCCCATACCAAACTGTCCAAAAAATTAATCGAACTACTAATATAATTGATTTAGTGGTTCTACTAATATAATTGATTTAGTGGTTCTATTAGTCCGGACAATGATCTGGTTCTGTTATTATAACAATTACATTTTCATATCACTTAGAATTATACTTCTTCTTCTACAAATAATTATGTTGCTATTAGGTGGGTTAAAACACCACAAATTAGCACATTCGAATATGGAACATCGTGAACTTTATTTCAACTGCATTTCAATTCTCACAGTGCACTTTTCCGGTACCGTGTTTTCTCTACATATATACAGAGTATGGTACACTATTTAATATTATTTTATATCAAAATTAATTACTGAACATTCATTCTAATATAAATTAAAATGTCATGTGTTATATGATTGTCAAACCTCTTTCCTCCAAATTCATCTCTTACATTATTAATCTTACACAAAAATTATAATCCTTACACACTTAAGTTAAGTCATTAAGATTAACAAATTACACTATTAGTTTATTCCAAACTAAACACGACACCGCAACAGTGAAATTACTTCATTTAAAAATTGAAAGGAATACTAAAAATTATTATTGAATTGCAATAACATTCCTACACTGTTACACCCACCGTCTATTTAGCAATAAAGTAGCCATAATTTTTGCGGACATTATGGGCAGAGAAAATCCCTACACATAATCATACACAACAACTAACTCACACCCGAGTCCCGATTATTATATAAAGGGATGGAGCTGCCTATTCACTACTCCCACCCAAACCGTCCAGTCCTTCACAAGTTCCCAAGCGACCTCTCTTTCTCTGCAGCTTTTTCCATCATCATGGTAAGTATACCCTCACCGATGATTACTTTCTCCAGCCGGCGTAGTTATTTGACATGGCGCAATTGTTGGTTATCTAACGAATTATTGCATGCATTCTTTATTCTTTCATGTCTAATATCGTTTCCGCTGCTCTCTTACATTAACCCGCACGTCCCTATTGAAACTTCGCACATGTTTTGGTGATGATCTTGGTTTTTTTACGCATGTCCTCAATCTTACTTCTAAATTAACTATCGAAGTTTTACTATGTAAGCAATATGTGTTGAATTACATATTTTAGAAAGACTTAATCTACGTACCTTATTTAATTACACACTTCCTACATTAACATTGTGCTTAGTACATATTTAGAGAGTTACATTGTGAAACATTATAGATATTTTTTTTGGAGGATAAATATGCAATCCCATTTGATTTCCGATTTCACCACTGAAAAGAGGAACTGGATTCTTCAATATCATTTTTCGAGGAAGTGGCTGACACTCAATCCCAAAATATATGTTATTCTTCGTCTCGATATAGTAGTCATCGAATCAAAGGTAAACAATCAATATAAAAAATTATCTCTGTTATTCAATCGTTAACATTATTAATACGCCTATTTTTTAACCCAAGGTAATGATATATTGGTGCAAATTCCCATAGGCAACAATAATTTCCAGCCCCTGTTTCGAGATCAAAGAGTTTACACTATCAAGCACTTTATGATCAATATGACAATGAGAGATGACAGCCCAATCCCAAACAAATTGGTCATGAAGCCGCAGTCAAATATCGAGGCCGAAGCATGCGATGATATTCAAGAGATACCAATTTACAAATTTTACTTCATCAAAGAAGATGAGATTGAGAGGAAGCCCAACCAAAGGAAATTTCTTTCATGTATTAAGCATTATTCTCAAATAAAAAATATTTTGCTGCGTGGACAACCAAAAACTTACTTTCATATATTATTTGTTACACATATGTCATTGGCACTAGCTAACTGACATTTAATTAAACGAATGTTGAATCTGCAGTTAAAATTAATTTCACCTCTTCAGGAGCGACAATTTTGGGCCAAGGTGTAGTTCTTAAACATTACTCTCCATATTTGTCTGCGTGTTATGAGTTTGATGTTGAACAAACCAAAACGGGAGTAATTATCATTCCTTTTTGGTGATAACAGTGACAGCGATGGACCAAATCCACCGGTGAAAAACATGGAAGCACCTAAAAGGAAGGATGAGGACAAGCACGACACTGACGATGAGTAAAAATAAGGGTTAAAAAAATAGAATTTAGTTCGCTGGTAAAAGGGTTTGTCGTTGATTTTTTGTAAATTAATTATGTTCGATGAGTCGGTTATGATGTCCCACGATACTATGATGTTTATATTTTAAATGGTTTAAGTACTTTAATAATTTGGATTCTTTACATTACCAAGAAATTTACATTTCGATAATTTCAGGGATCTATATTTTGTAAACAAACAAAACACGTGAAACTCATGATAATCCTATTTTGTATTTACATTATTCGTAAATGAATCTGACATTGCTACTTATTTGGTATTAACACGATTCTGAAATGAAACCGGCCAATCGGCCGGGCCTGTGACTAGTAATACAGATATAGCAATTCCATTTATAAAATTAACGGTACTGTCATGATTGATGACTAGACAAACGGTTCTTTGGGACGTGGCAAAATATCTTTATTATTATTATTATTATTATTAAGTGAAACAAAAAAAAAGTCACCGGACGGTTCATCTCCCTCTTCAGACTAGCTCCGCCTGCTCTTTTCTTATAGCTCTCCCCGAGCTCCGACGTTGGCCTTCACACAATTCCTCTCCACCACCTTTCTTGTTTCCTCGGGAAAACCCAAATACCACCGCTGGTGCCAAATTTGTTTCTGGCGATGTTGATTTGATGTTTCACGACAGAAACTTTTGCGGTGTCGTTTGATCGGACGCACCACCGACTTTTGAAATCAACGTGACCGTCAAATATCCACCACCGGGTGTCGGGCGATGTTGATTTGATCGATGCACCTCTGAATGCTGAAATCAACGTGAACGTTAAATATCCACCGCATAGCGATGTTGATCTGATCGATGCACCTTTGACTTCTAACCAAGAACGATTGTTACTCGGTTCACACCTCTCCAAACAATGTTCGAACGAGGGTGTTTGAGTTTTTGGGGAATCTACGTTAAAACTACTCCTATGGAGATTCCTGTGGAGAGCTCCGCGACTACGACTACTGCTACGACTATGGAGATCCTTCCTGGAAGGAGAGCTCCGCAAGGGAGTTACAAAGAAGAAAGGTAAAGTTTGACAGATGTGTTCCTGTGTTGATTTTGGTTCTCCTCTCTCTCCTTGCTCCAGTGATTTTATCTGAAATCACTTGCGTAGTCTTCACGCCCCGTGGAACTGCTTCCTCAACCGCTCCGTCGTGAACTCCCACGTGTCTTCACTCTTCTCCACAGAGTCGTAGTCTTCAACCACTTTGATCTTCTCTTCACTCCCGACTCTCCCGTGCAAGAAAATAACTATGTTATTTTCATGAGCCTGCGACACCGATGACTTTGTGACCGCGACATCAATTCCATTGCGTTGTTTTTTAACTAGCGGCATTTTTAGCCTCGCTACACCGCATCAATTTAATATTTCACGTACCGCAGCATTGTCGGGCTTACTTGCGGTGTGGTTTTCTTCCCCAAACAGCTCTGTTTGCTTTTTCACTCCACGACATTATTTTATATTAAACACTGTTGTTTTCTAATCCGCAGTGTTGTTTTCTCTCGCGGCGTCGTTTTTAGCCAAACAACACCGTCTAAAATAATTATTAAACAGATTAATTAATTAAACTGGCTCATTATTGTCACGCGGTCAAATTCTCATCCCTCTGCGCCTTTTAATCTTTCCGCGGCATCGCTTTTCACTAATCGATGCCGACCTTGAATTGCTTCGTCCCGATCCCATCGAATAGTGTCGTTTTTCATTCCGCAACATTGTTCTCTACCAAACGGTACCGTTTTTCTCGTTTTCGGTGCCGTTGGGCTTGTCGGGCCTCGCCAAAATCCAACCCGTTGTGGTATGATTTCTAACTAAACGGTATCACTTAGTAATATCTTGGCGCTGTTGATCCCTTAAACGGTGTCGTTTTTAGCTAAACAGCACCGCTTGATTATACCCGCGACATCGTTTTATTATTAAACGACTCCGCTTCCAGCCTCGCGGTATCGTTTTCTTCCCCAATCAGCTCCGTTTGTTTTTTCCTCCGCGATACCGTTTATTGTCGTTTGCTAGTACAACGGCACCGTTGGGCTTACTCGCGGTGCCGTTTTGAATTAAACCACACCGCCTAACAAACTAAAAAGAAATACCAACGTATTAAATTGTCGCGATCTTGCACGTTTGGGCTGGGCGGATTTTTGGGCAAGTCACTTACCCGATATGGTTTCTAATTAATCAGCACCGCATATCAAGGCCTCTCGCGGCATCATTTTTAAATCCGTGATAGCGTTTTAATTCTCCGCGGTACCATTTTAATTCTCCGCGATGCCGCTTGTCTCCATGCGGTATCGCTTCTCCCCTTCCGACAAGGAATAAAAATAATAATAATAACTCCTTTTCCAACACCAATACTACCCCCATCCTGTTTCTGGGTAAACAGTGTCGTTTCCAGTGTCGCGGTACCGGTGAGCTTCCTTGCGGTACCGTTTTTCTGATCCGCGGTGTCGTTGGATTTATTCGCGGTGCCGTTTTTAGCCAAACGACACTATTTTCCAGTCTCGCGATGCCGTCGACCTTTGAGGTTCGCGACACCGTTATATCTCTTCGCGGCATTGCTTGCCTCCAAACGGTGCTGTTACTCTCCTCCTCCGACAAGGAAAAAAATAAAATAAAAAACATTCCTTGTCCAACAGCAACACATGTCCTGCGCATGACTCACACATGGTCTGCAACCAATGTCCTTTCAAGTACCGCGGTACCGCTGAGCCTCTTCGCGGTCTCGCTTAAATTCACTGCGGTATTGCTCAACTCCAAACGACATCGTTTTGGCCATGCGATATCGAATTAAATGCCGAGACTCATTATTACGGCATTGAATTTAGACCAAAAATATTTTAGGTGTAAACATTTCTCCATCGACAACCCTGGCCTCCTTGGCAGCTTTCCCCCATCGGATACTGGCGGTCGATTCCACCGAGCTTGCTGTCAAAGACGATGAAGAAAGGTCGGAGAAAATCGATTTCCAGATTTCTGCTTCTCGTCGTACCCTTCGTATGTTGAATTTCCCACGGAGTCACCGACGACACCAACCCATTTAGTTCCTACCTGCTACGGGTCGATCCGCAGTCTCCCACAAAGTAAAGTAGCTCCCTCCATGTTCCTCTGCTGAAAACAAAGAGGACCAGAAATCAGCAGCGAAATTAAACCCCCAATCCTAGGGATCATGGTGTTGGAGGAATGAATGGCGACTTGTGAAAATTCAATCATCCATCATAATTCTCCTATTTCCCCAGCCGGGTATCTATAAGACCTACAAACTAATCTGTGAGAAGCATAACTATTGAGGTTTCTTTGTTATTTGCGTATTATTCGGATATTATGCTAGGGCGGGAATTATGGGGGTTTATTCGGTTAGGTTAATTATTTGGGTACCAAACAGGAATTAGTCGATTCATATATATGTCATGTTATGTTAGGAGAAGGGCAAGCAATAACACAGAATTGTTCCCAAACTCTCCCTCTCTCTTTCTCACCTAGTCGAGCCTCCCTTCCCTCTCTCCACCGTCGGCGGCTCCCTCCCGGGAACCCGACTTTGTCTTCTATCTCATCCAATTCCCAATTCTTTCTCACCTAAATTCCCAATCCCTAATCCGTTCAATCCCTAAATCGCACGCCTAGATCCGTAGTTCTCACAGTGGTATCAGAGCCTGGCTGGCGTGCTGATTTATTGAACCCTGCAGAAGTTGAGGATGTCGAACATGGACAAGCCGCAGCAGCAGAAGCAGGGCAAGGAGATCGTGATCGTGAAGGACATAACGACGAACAACCCGATACCTTGTAGCAGTCGACCCAACGGGTACGTGCGGCCCGTTTTTCTTATCGGATCAGGGTCAAAATGGGGTCGACCGGCAGGTTGACAACCTTATAGTCACAAAAGAATTTCATGCTCAAATTGGATAAATATATATATTTCCCCCAAACTGTTCCTTCCATTAACTCCCCAAGTTGAAACCCTAGAATTGAAAATCCAAGAGGGTTCTTCGAATCGTGCTATCATCCACCGCTCGTTGATTCCGGGCAAGACTTCCGACCTGAAGGCTAGAGGGAAGGAGTCCCCCAAAGCGCCGGAGTCAGCTAAACCATCCAAGGCACCAAAGCTCATGTCGTCCGAGTCTCCTACTGAATCAACGACGAAGATGGGAACCTGCGTGCGCTGCCTAGCCGTTGGTGAGCTGAAACTCGTACCCAAGGACGACGATTCCAATTATGTGCTCAAGAGCGACGATTTCAAGGGCGATGAAGAATTGAAGCTCCGTGTCATCCATTACCGGAGGAAGAAGCGGATCAGCGGTGTAAGTTAGACACATTTGATTTGCGATTTTAATTAATTAGGTTTTCCACAGTTTTTCGTGTAGCAATATTTTCTGCCTGTATGTTTGTTTGCTTGATGATTTCATTTTCTCAGCAATCGTTCTTAATTACATGCAGTGTTTTTATGCTGATTGTCCACCTAATTACCCTAGTTTCGAGGGAATCTTCTACTACGAACATTTCCCCGAAACTCCTGATAAGAAGCAGAAGCTTTACAAATCTCTTGAGTTCGCCATCGGCAAATATAACAGAGAGAAGGTAATTCATTTAGCAACCATGCACTGATCTCTGTCTTGTTGATCTGGGAGGACATAATCTTGAGATATCATGATTGACCTTTTTCTTCTTATGGTTGTGAACGTTTCCAGAGGGACAACTTGACTTTAACTGAAATTCTGCACACAAATCTGGAGACTTATGGTTGTATGATATTCTATGTAACTTTTAAAGGCTTCAGTGAGAAGTTTGGTGTCCAGACTTACCAGACTGTGGTCACCTGTTCAAAGTATTACACTGGCGATCATGAAGTTATAATCTTCAGAAATGGTAAAGGAATGAGTTGTTGACTTTTCGTTAATTTGAGTTGCGGGTCGGGTGGATTACGAGTTGTTGATTTTTAATTAATTCGAGTTGCGTTCGAATTGCGGATCGGATTGATCGGGCGGATTAGTCGAATCAGGATTTTGTTTTGACACCTATATACATATACAAGGCTTTATATAAGCCTATAATTAACAAAATATCAAGGCCTTATTAATTAGTCCAGATATGAACCTCCTTTGAATTGTGGTGCATAATTTTTCGTTTTTTCTTTTCATCAAGATTAGCATACATTTATTTCCATATCCCATCGTATCTAATCCAAATCTTTCTCTTGATTTTCATATCACATATTTTGTCACCATGCATTTAATTAATTTGTTTTTATATTTTGAATTAACTTCATGATATTTCAACAGCGGTGCTTGTTCATTTGTCATTCTTTTATGTTGCTGAAAGATTTTCAGCTGTCTGTGTGGATGATCTTGTTGCTTTTATTGGATGGATGGTTCTTTGACATGTTTGTATCCATGTTGGTCTGCTTGTGGATTGATTGCACTACTATATATGTAGAGATTATTTGTACTGTTAACGAACCAAGGATGTTTTCCTTTTTATAGGTGAATATGAGGATTTGTTGACCCCAACAGATTCTTCCTTCCAAGAATATACAAGGGTCAAAAAAGAGCTAATGTGCACCTTAGACGGTCATGTGTTACCATCTGACCCCTTTTATGAAGACTTCAAACGGATCTGTGCAGAACAAAGGGAAAGAGAGAATGCCAGATTAAAAGAGCTGATGTGATATTCCCTTCTCTTGAAGGTAGGGTGACTACTACGGTGTTGAACTGAGAAGTGGGGGTAGTATGGTCTCTATGCTATGGTAGCAAGAACCAGACGCAATAGTATCAGACTATCAGTAGTTTAATGTTGTGCAGACATTTGAGTAGCAACTTGGTCTATCTCTATTTATGGGTTCTTTTAAGGCTTGGACTTTTTTTTCTCTCCGAAGACAAGGTTGGTACATTTAAGTATTTACTAGCAAGGACCCGCTCGCTTGCGCTTCGCGGTGAATGAAAAGCTCTACTTATACTTATAAAGTTATCGTGTTAGGAGGAAATTGAATTTTTTATCAAAACTATATGGTTGTATTTATATTATTTCTTGTACACGAAGTTTTTTCAGTAGTACTACTACACCACGTTCCTCTCACTTTTGTTTAACAACTGATACAACATTCATTCGGACAATATAAGTAAAACGATATTCAAAAGTTAATATAAGTGAATTTAGAATCAAGGTCCAACTAAAAATGAGGCAAAAAGTCAAACAATATTCATACTTTCGATACATTCAATCCTTTAAGAAAATACTCGTAAACATTGTTTCTTTCCATATGCTTCTCCCCCTATCTTTTCGTCAATTAGCAGTCTAACATTCTGAGTTTAGGCATGAAGTTTAGCATAAAAAATTGTAGGTACGAAAATCTCATAAAATTAATATACCAAAATATAATTGTTCAATGATTTTACATTAAAATTAAATTTGGGGTATCAAAATGTAAAATTTATAGTGACTAAGTTGTAATTTTATTAAATTTGGGTATCAAAATGTACATGATGGTTCAGAAGGATTGGTGGATTGAATTCAAGTGAAATCTAAATATTGGACCACTATGTAAACGTAAAAAATTGTAGGTACGAAAATCTCTTAAAAATTTAGATATCAAAACATAATTGTTCAATGATTTTACATTAAAATTAAATTTGGGATATCAAAATGTAATATGTACATTATAGTGACTAAGTTGTAATTTTATTTTATTTGGGTATGAAAATGTACATTATGGTTCAAATTGGTGGATTGGATTCATGGATTTAAGTGAAATCTAAACATTATACCAATTTGTAAACTTAAAAAATATTGTAGGTACGAAAATCTCATAAAATTTAGATACCAAAATATAATTGTTCAATGATTTTACATTAAAATTAAATTTGGTTATCAAAATGTAAAAATGTACATTTAGTGACTAAGGTGTAATTTAATTAAATTTGAGTATCAAAATATAAAATGTACATTATAATGACTAATTTGTAATTTTTTTCATAATGACATGTAATAATTTAATGTCCACATCCTTGTAAATAAGATAATAATTAATTAAAAACTAAAAAATAAATGAAAAATAAAAAAGAAAGATTTGATGTGACATTTAGTATTCATTAGAGTTACATAAAAAACTGGTAGATAATGAGTGTCTAATTTTGTGCCTTATTACTTTGATCGAGTCTATTAGTATATTAGATGCAACCTTAACTTTATTGTTTGCTCTTAAGTTTTGATGGTCCATTCTTAGCTGAATTGTTAGTATATAGTTGACTTGAATCAACAATTCTCCATTTCATTTTGATTAGTGGCATATTGTATGTTTTATATTTTTAAATGATGATGATATTTCTCTGAAAGTTTGACATATATATTTTTCTTTATGTATCCTCTCGATGGAAGGATTTTCAATAAAATTAAACGGGTTGATAGACTTCAACGTAAGATAACAATATAATTAATCAAATATGAATATTCCGGCTAACGATCTGAGTTATAAGCAAGTATATATATATCTGGCATGCCTTTTATTCCTACACTTATTTGTTTTCCCTATATTTTGTTTCTCAAACTTCTTTTTTTTTTTTTCATACAACAAATGGCTCATCACGGGTTCCGTTTACAAGTACATCAACATTGCTACTTCTGTATGATTCAATTTTTTTTTTGTCAAAAATAGGGAAATAAGTAGATATTACAAGATACTTAAAAGCCAGATGCGGCAGTCAGTCGCTAGCCGAACTGTCGATGAAAGGGCATTAGTAGCCACAAGTTGGACAGCCCTATTGTCCTATGAGTAAAATTACAGGAGAAACACGAAAAGGAAGAGATTGCAGGGCAAGTTTCTTCGAGTAAGGCCCCTTTGGCTCCATGAGCTATATCCTTCTCCCGAACTCGCCGAGTCAATAGTTGGGAGTCGCCACAAAATTTCACAAACAAGAAACCATGTGTTAGACATCAATCAATAGCATCCCTCAAAGCTAACACCTCCATAATAAATTGGTTGGCTATACCTGCATAGTGCTTGCCGATTACAAATAAGAGCCGTAGAATGAGAAAAACTAGCAAAGCCGATCCCTCCACCAGCTCCCTTCTTCCAAGAGCCATCAAAACGTACCAACACACCACCAGCTGGACATACACCATCTTGAGCAGCCGGAACGGAGCGTGATTGGCGAAGGGGGGAAGAGGATGTCGCTTCATTGGGAGCTCGCAGCAAGGTCAGCGGGGCAGAAGCTTGTTCCCACTCGCCTACCTGAAGCCCTGTACTGTCTTAGGAGAGCGTTCCCTCGGTATTGGATGCATCTGTATGATGAGCCCTTCTAGTGTGCTCTATAGCACCCATGCTATAAAAAAAAGTGACATGTTGAGGAGGTAAACCCACTAAATGACTGGTCCCACATCATTAATGGCAATCTTGTAAATAGTGAATCAATGTATGTAAGTGTAGGTACAAATTAGAGTTGTACCATATCCTATAGGTACAAGTTTCAGCTGTACCATTGAAGAATTTGTTTCACAAAGTGTAGGTATAACTCAAAATTGAACCTAGCATGTAGGTATAATTTTAGGTTGTACCATAGAGTTTTTTTGTAAAAGTGTAGGTACAACATAAAGTTGTACCATGGTATAGGTACAGGTTTGGGTTGTACCGCAGAAGGATTTTGAGAAAGTGTAGGTACAACTTAACGTTGTACCATTAGTATAGGTACAATTTTGCGTTGTACCATAGAGGGATTTGTTAGAAAGTGTAGGTACAACTTAAAGTTGTACCATGGTATAGGTACAAGTTTGGGTTGTACCATAGAAGGATTTTTAGAAAGTGTAGGTACAACTTAAAGTTGTACCATGGTATAGGTACAAGTTTGGGTTGTACCATAGAAGAATTTTGAGAAAATGTAGGTACAATTTAAGGTTGTACCATGAGTATAGGTACAATTTTGAGTTGTACAATAAAGGGATTTGTTAGAAAGTGTAGGTACAACTTAAAGTTGTACCATGGTATAGGTACAAGTTTGGGTTGTATCATAGAAGGATTTTTAGAAAGTGTAGGTACAACTTAAAGTTGTACCATGGTATAGGTACAAGTTTGGGTTGTACCATAGAAGAATTTTGAGAAAGTGTAGGTACAATTTAAGGTTGTACCATTAGTATATGTACAATTTTGAGTTGTACCATAGAGGGATTTGTTAGAAAGTGTAAGTACAACTTAAAGTTGTACCATTGTATAGGTACAAGTTTGAGTTGTACCATAGAAGGATTTTTAGAAAGTGTAGGTACAACATAAGGTTGTACCCCAAGAATAGGTACAATTTTGAGTTGTACCATAGAGGGATTTGTTAGAAAGTGTAGGTACAACATAAAGTTGTACCATAGTATAGGTACAAGTTTGTGTTGTACGGTAGAAGAATATTGAGAAAGTGTAGGTACAACTTAAGGTTGTACCATTAGTATAGGTACAATTTTGCGTTGTACCATAGATGGATTTGTTAGAAAGTGTAGGTACAACTTAAAGTTGTACCATGGTATAGGTACAAGTTGGGTTGTACCATAGAAAGATTTTTAGAAAGTGTAGGTACAACTTAAAGTTGTACCATGGTATAGGTACAAGTTTGGGTTGTACCATAGAAGAATTTTGAGAAAGTGCAGGTACAACTTAAGGTTGTACCATTAGTATAGGTACAATTTTGAGTTGTACCATAGATGGATTTGTTAGAAAGTGTAGGTACAACATTAAGTTGTACCATAGTGTATAGGTACAATTGTGAATTGTACCATAGAAGATTTTTAGGAAAGTGTAGGTACAACTTTAAGTTTAGTGTAAAGGTACAACTCTAAAAAGTGTAGGTACATCATAATCCCACGGCTGTTATTTTGCCAGAATGAGCTGCGAGAACGTTTGAGTGACAGCTGTGTGTTTCAATTTCACGTGAGATTTTGACAGGCGTGAGAATGTCAAGTAGTGGCCGTGAAATTTCTTGGGATAGTGAGAGCTGCTCTTTGCATCTCAGAGGACATCTCACGGCCATGATATTTGTCTGAGGAATGAAGCACTGCTTTTTACATCTCACTTGAGTATTTTACGGTTGTGAGATTACCAGTATAAGGTGTCAGATTTCCAATAGGAGACTTTCACCTGTTGAACTATCCGCTGTACTTATTATAATGGTGTTTCAAACAGAATGGACTTCTCACAGGACATCTCACGGCCGTGATATTTGCCTGAGGAATGAAGCACTGCTTTTTACATCTCACTTGAGTATTTTATGGTCGTGAGATTACCAGTATAAGGTGTCAGATTTCCAGTAGAAGACTTTCAACTGTTGAACTATCCCCTGTACTTATTATAATGGTGTTTCAAACAGAATGGACTTTTTTTACAGAACTTCAAACTTATGAAAAGATGATTCATAATGTTCTCTAAAGCTTGACACGAGCATTACATAGATCCATTCACAATGTTCTCTAGTAACCGTACATCATATCAGATGAGATACCCTGTTAACAAAAAGTAAAAAGCAGTCAAAGCATTACATTTGTCTAATAAAACAAGCATCCATAACACGATTAAATTTGTCTAATTAATGCTTAAGTTTAGCTGCATGTAGCCCACACAGGTGCATCATCATATTCTAATTGGAAAACATACAAGCACAAACGCAAACACACATAGCTAAGTACTAAGGACTTTGGTTGGCTCATCTTCACTGCCCATCTTCCTCGTCAGTGTTCTCGTCCTCGTCCTCGTTTTCCTGGATATGCTCATCTTCATTGTCCT